TGGCCTTCTTGGCACCCAGGGCACGCTGCTGGCTCATGGTCACCCTGTCGTCCCCCAGCACTCCCAGTCCCTCTCCGCAGAGCTGCTCTCCAGCAGGTCCGCCCCAGCCTGTACTGGTGGACTGGGTTGTTCCTCCCCAGGTGCAGGACCTTGATGTGCGAATAACTATTCCTTGACTTTCCAGAAGTCACGTCGGCTTTAGCTGTTGCTGTCGACGTGCCGATACCCCGACCCCAGCAGCAAAGGTACGGGCTGGGCAGAGGCCTGAGGTGGCAGCGGCCGCGCTGGCAGCCCAGGAGGATGCCCCAGCGCTGGGTCTGCAGCAGGGGGAACCCCCCGGTCCTCCCACCCCTCTGGACCACCGTGGCAGGGAGGTCCAAGAGGAGGGCCACGGGGCTTTGCTGGAGCCTGAAGAGGCCAGGGCAGGTGGCCCAACTCACCGCTCTCTTCTGCTCTTGCAAATGATTCCTCCCACCTCCCAGAACAGTGCCGGGAAAGCTCTCCTCTTTCCTCTCCTCCTCCTCCTCTTTCTTTTCGTTCTCTCTCTTCTCCTCCTCTTTCTTCTCCTCCTCCTCCTTTTTCTTCTCCTCCCCTTTCTTCTCTTCCCCTTTCTTCTCCTCCTCCTCCTCCTCCTCTTTCTTTTCGTCCTCTTTCTTCTCCTCCTCCTCTTTCTTCTCCTCCTCCTTTTCCTCCTCCTCTTTCGTTTCCTCCTCCTCTTTCTTTTTCTCCTTTCTTTTCCTCCTCTTTCTTTTCCTCCTCTTTCTTCTCCTTCTCTTCTCCTTCTCCTCTTCCCCTCTTTCTTCTCCTCCTTCTCCTCTTTCTTCTCCTCCTTCTCCTCTTTCTTCTCCTTCTCCTTTTTCTCCTCCTCTTTCTTCTCCTCCTCCTCCTCCTCTTTCTTCTCCTCTTTCTTCTTCTCCTCCTCCTCCTCTTTCTTCTCCTCCTCCTTCTCCTCCTTCTCCTCACTGATGAACGTGTCCTTCGCAGCGGTGGGTGAAGCGATTGCCCTGTGCAGCCCCCAGCTTCGCTTACAACAGCCCTCTCCTGATGACGCTGGTCCCTCCCTTTGCTGACGCCCTTAAGAGAGAGGGGGGCTTTGCACTCGCAGAACTCGGCCCCTCTCCGTTCAGCAGCTC